AACCTTAATTAATAATGATATTGCATCCCATTCTTTGTTTGTTAGATTAATTTGTTCTAAACAGGATCTATCTTTACGAGTTTGCAAATTATTATCTAATAATGAATTTGTTATTATTACATGAATAATGTCCTGAATTTTTACAAGCCACTGCCACAAAAGATAAGACAAATTCCACCTAGTAGAAACATTGCCAATAATTCGTAATTAGTGGTCATTATTATCTAGATTCTGAAATAAATAAATTATCAATTAAAATAAATTTATATTAATAAATTTACATTATTATTACATAATAAAGAATACTTATAAAATTTTCAAACTACTGCATATTTTTTTGTGCATTTATTAATCTTTCTGTTTGTTTGGGCATTGTGAAGAATAGCATAAGCCTCTTGGCCTGTGCTATGAGAAGTTTGGCATCTATTAACCCCTTTATAATAACAAGTTGAAGGGTGTAGACCATGTATGGAATTCGAATAATATTTGGCATACATTTTACAGCTTTCATCATATTGCTTCCATTATTTGTCATAATAGTAAACATCTTATTTGTTAATCCCCATTCATTAATTACAAAATTTAATTACATCCCATCCAAAGATTATATATCAAAGAACAAGAGATAATATTATCATTGAAAATACTTTTAAGATTTTTTTTAGAACTTACAAAAGCATCTGTAAGTAATTTTTGGCAAAGTTTTTTACTAGGTAATTAATAATTAGGATCGAACTCTGCCAGAAACTCAATAAAACTGGTTCTTTCTCATATGCTAGTAGGCAATTGATCTTTGACTAACATACTGATAAACTTCTGATCCTGGCTTGCTTTTTATTTAGGATCACTCACCACTATCTTTTGAAATATTTGACCAATATTTGGTTATATAGATTGTTTCTGCTTTTGTTTATATAGTTTTTCTGTCATTGAATACCAAGATACCAAGTGTCAAATAAAGTTACTTGTCGAAGTGTCTACTGATCCCATCAAATAGCTATATGGTTGAAGCCCATTCTCCCCATTAACTTTAAACAAACAATGAACTATTTGCTTATAAGATTCTATAGACTTATACAACTAATAGTAATTTCATACCCAACTTTTTCCAGGAGTTTTGGTAAGAGGTATTAGTTGAATATCTTTAAGGTCAAGTTTAAATAATTTATTGCTATAAGAACTACTTTCAAATGGTGTACTACTAGTTACTTGATTACTAACAGGTTCATTAGTACTTTCATCATTTGTTGTCTGATTACTAACAGGTT